GGGCCCCCCCCCCCCCCCCATTATTCACGCCATAATTTGTGGCTGTCCGTTGTTAGGATCCACGAAACTCGGTTGCTGTGCAAGCAACATGAGCTAACTGAAAACCTGGGTCAGAAGTTGCATATTATAGAAATTTCCTAGTATGTTGGAAATTTCCTAGTCCAAACTTCATATGCGCTGTAATCAGATTTGCGTGATTTTCACCCATGCAGACCGCAGTTAATATTGGTGTATTTTCTATAAAATCTCGAGGCCTATGTAATATTTCCTTTAACCAAGGTTGACTTCTCAAACACTTTTTCCAAAGTCACCCTAGTTCACTGGTCATAAATTACAGAAGGTGGGCTATGAAAATTGAGGGATGGGTTATCAATTTTCCATGTTACAAATACTGTAGGGGGGGTAGGTGTTGGCGGTCAGATTAAAATCTGCCTTAAATAATTTGCATATGAAAGTATTCAGCAGCTTTTTAATAGCATCTCGTGGAACACAAACATACTAAACTTTTTTCTCAAATGTAAATTTCATTTCACGCTTGAGTTTAAAATACGTTTCCGCCATTTTGTTTGTTTTGGGAAAATCATTAATTGTACTGCAGTACAATTAATGAAATAATTGTACTCCTCTCAACCAATCAGCATCCAGTAATTTTGTCATGCTAATAATAAGTATAGGTAATCATGCGATAGCGAGTACAATTCGGGATTAATAGTACGAGTGATGTTTGGAAATTTCGCCAAAATTGGACGAGCCGCCGGGGCGAGTCCAATTTGGTAAATTTCCAAACATCACGAGTACTATTAATCCTTAATTGTACGAGCAACATCGCATGATTACTTGTTTATTATTAGCATGACAAAATTGGATACGTACTTCTCAATGTCAGCATCATATTCTCTCGCCAAAGCCCAGTCCCGTCAGACTTTCAACCAAAATTTGGTGCTTTTGTTTGTATTTTCATTTAGTTCTTTTGTTAATGCAAAATTTGGTGATTTTGTTCGTATTTTCATCTAGTTCCTCCACGGCAATTTCATTTCACGCTTGAGTTTAAAATACGTTTCCGCCATTTTGTTTGTTTTGGGAAAATCATTAATTGTACTGCAGTACAATTAATGAAATAATTGTACTCCTTTCAACCAATCAGCGTCCAGTAATTTTGTCATGCTAATAATAAACTTTATAACAATACGTACAAATTAACTTTATAACAAAACTGTTACAGTTCTTCTGTCTGTATCTTAAACATGCAATGTGAACATAATCATTATCATGAACATGGGATTAATGAAAGGATGTTGTCAAATGGGTGGGGTGTGTCGTTATAATTTCATCTACCAAATAGGGGTGGGTCATGTGTGTTTGTACACAAATTGGGGGTTGGGCCACCTTGGGGCCACCTTGGGGCCACCTATAATTAGATCCCGCCCCTCCGTACTTTATGACCAATTGCAAATTAGGTTGAGCCATAATTTCTTTAAATTTGCTGGTAATAATTCTCATTTTTTCTCGGTGCCTCTGGCTGCCAACAAAGCATACGATCACCGACTGCAACTCGATGAAGGATGAACACTGGTGCGACTGGCAATTGAAGATATGGCTTAAAGTTAGAAAGCTGTGAGCTTTTGTTGGTAGGGATACAACTACCTGAAAAATATAAGATGAATTTTGACATTTCGAGCGAAGGCCCTTCGTCTGGAGTTAATACCCAAATTCCAGACTGACTACTAAGGGCAACTGACAGATAACCTGACTCCTAACTTCAGATGAAGGGCCGTCGCTCGAAACGTTAAATTTATCCTTGTATTGTTCAATTTTCAAGCAATTGTTGCATTCGTACCAACTCGAAAGCTTAGTGATTGGCACTATACTTACTAGAGGTGTGCAAATCCGAAACCGATCCGATCGGATTCGTTCGGATTTCGGAACTAAAATATTCATATCGGATCGGATTGATAAAGTTGTTTCGCAGTCGGATCGGATCGGACTTCGATATCCGAAATAAAATAAATTAATTATCCACGCATTATCGCAAGAATGAATTATCCACGCATTTATTAAAGCGTCATCGCAGTTGTCGCTGCATTATTCGTTTGATACTTCAATTGGACGTCACCTTGTCAGCTTCTTGACATGTATTTCTTGCTTTTTTATTTATTTGGTTAAATATTTCAACTTGAATGAGAAATTTATTTTATTAAAGAATTCTTCGGATCGGATCGGATTCTTTCTCAAAACTCGGATCGTATTCGGATTAGACAGTTTCGGATCGGATCGGATTTTAAACATCGGGCAATTTCGGATTATAAACGTCCAATCCGATCCGATGCACACCTGTAATACTTACACTGGCACAGACATTTCAAAAGAGAATAAGTGAGGCTGCTAATAATCAATTTCTCGCAGCAATACTTTTTTCCTACCAATAACACGTGTGCAACACCACTGATTCAGTGCTGTGGTCACACCATAGCCTGTCCAGATATGATGGTCTGAAAACCCGGCAAACTTCAAAGCTACAAAATAGAATGTCTTTGTTTTATGTTGAACTGTGCCTCACCGTGCACAAATCCTTTGTTTCAACTTCATTAAATATTATCCATCGTGGTTGTACGTTTCATCTCAGCTATCCCTATTGGACGATTACTTCGTGGTACGAAAATACTATGAGTTCAATCACCGCGTGACCGTGCACAAATTTAACATAAACTTATATAATATAAGACTTTTGTTTCGTTTCCAGACCATCATATCTTCATAGACTGTGGTCTCACCAATATGACTCCATTATGCATGCCTCAGAATCAATATAATCCTAATTTTAATCCTGACTTTAATCTTGGACCTATAATTCTCCAGCCTAATCCTAATTCTCGTGACGTCATTTTATGATGTAATAATAAGGAATTTCACCAACGGTGCTGTTTCGTCCCCAGTCACTTTATGTGAATGGGGGTGGAGGGGTGGAGTGCTTAACGAGTTGACTGCAGACACGTGGCCGAATAATGATGAGAAGACGAAGAAGGGGGTTTTCAATCAAAAATTGCATTTATCTTGCAGTTTTATTTGCATTTATACTGCATTTTTCTTGCCATACACTATAGAAAATTATGTTCAGTATAAAAGGTTTCCTTTTGTCCAGGCAAAGGGATCATTCGCGGAGTCATTTGTGTATTTACAGGGACCGCTGAGCCTGTTTAAAAGGCAATTATTCAAAACAGTCCACCACGACTCAAAGTAAAATTTTTATTAAAGATTTCAATAATAATTTAATAATATTTCATAAGCTTGTTGCCAAATCATGTCAACCATAATATGTCACGTGAAGAGGCTTTATACCTGAAAAAAACTCATCTTCATTCAGTATGGCTTGATATAAAAGTCCATCCTAATTAGTATTCTTTATATAAAACTAATATTAAAAACGGCATCTATTGACTATTGTAGTCGTGTTTGAAGTAGCCTGAGTGCAGCCTGACTTTTTCATGGGGAAGGGGGAAAAGTCGAAAAGCATTTTAAATATGATAAAACACTCCATACTATAGCTACAACACCCGAAACAAAAAAGAAAACATTTGGAGCGTGCGACCGAGAAACGGGGGGGGGGGACATTTAGCTACCATGCTTTTAACGAATGGCACAGTCTAGCAACTGCATGGTTATGCTATGCTATTAAACCTGCATCTAAATGGGTTAAATAGCTACATGCATTTCAAAAGGTTTGGATAATGCAAATCATTAAAGATGTGCATAACATGACCTGTTGCCATGGATTGACATCCGCGGGATACAGAACAATTGACAGCATTTAAAATTAATCTGTGTTGGTGTAATGTACTCAGGTGAATATGATGCTTGTGATGTTACTCTGAGTGTATATCCGCACCGGGCAAGCTTGAAAAATATGCCTGACCACGGTGGGAATCGAACCTACGACCTTTGGAATACTAGCCCAATGCTCTGCCAACTGAGCTACGCGGTCTGGTCGGTTCGAGTATGTGATATATCGGAACAGAATCTAGTTCCTTCGATATCAATGTTATCTAATAATAATCATGATTTTTCTGTGTTGGTGTAATGTACTCAGGCGAATACGATGCTTGTGATGTTACAGAGCATTGGGCTAGTATTCCAAAGGTCGTAGGTTCGATTCCCACCGTGGTCAGGCATATTTTTCAAGCTTGCCCGGTGTCGAGATACACTCAGAGTAACATCACAAGCATCATATTCACCTGAGTACATTACACCAACACAGAAAAATCATGATTATTATTAGATAACATTGATATCGATGGAACTAGATTCTGTTCCGATATATTACATACTCGAACCGACCAGACCGCGTAGCTCAGTTGGCAGAGCATTGCATGGGCTAGTAATCCAAAGGTCGTAGGTTCGGTTCCCACTGTGGTCAGGCATATTTTTCAAGCTTGCCCGGTGTGGATATTCACTCAGAGTAACATCACAAGCATCATATTCACCTGAGTACATTACACCAACACAGAAAAATCATGATTATTATTAGATAACATTGATATCGAAGGAACTAGATTCTGTTCCGATATATCACATTCTCGAACCGACCAGACCGCGTAGCTCAGTTGGCAGAGCATTGGGCTAGTATTCCAAAGGTCGTAGGTTCGATTCCCACCGTGGTCAGGCATATTTTTCAAGCTTGCCCGGTGTGGATATTCACTCAGAGTAACATCACAAGCATCATTTAAAATTAAACTTATAAGAATCATTTGTCACTGAGAGACACTAAATACGGCTGCAGTAATGGGACACGCTAAGACATTATAAGCTTAAAACATTAATATATTCTTATCATTATTATTAATAGTATATATTATTTAGTAAATTTCACTATATTATTCTATTTTTTTTATCAGGGTTCCACTGAAAATCACTCTTCCCAACCTTGTAATATTGTACTTAGTTAGAGTTATAAACCGACTTTCGAGGTTTATAACTAACTTATATCTCATTTGTTGAGGTTTTCTAACATATTTTGTCATTTTCAAAAATTTTTGATGAAAATTCTCGCGTTTTGTCGAAAATTTTGATGTAATTATTTATTCAAGGTATATTAGCTAGTTATAAACCTCGGACGATCAAAGAAAACCGACACAAATGAGATATAATTACTATTATAAATTATAACATTTATACAAATTGTGTTCCCGATCATAAAAACAAGTACTGTTTATTTTCCATAATTGCGTGCTGACGTCATGAAACGTCATACACTCCAAGTCGGTAAACAAAATTTATCAACCTAATGGTTTTGTTGTGTGAAAAGACCGGCAACGCTTGTGTATAGCTTATTTATTCGCCGAGAAGATCAGCAGAACTCTGCATCACTGCATTACTATATGTAAAGTTGTTGATTTCGATAAGCCATTTTCAATTCCTGCGATTCTGTTTGTTTTGTTCAATAGACGTAATACTAGTGTAAAATGCATGGGATCTGTCTCCTTTCAGATCGAGAAAATGGGATTTTGGTTACTAGGACAGGGAAGACCACAATCTGTCAAGACAAGATAGTCTGGAAGTCCGCCAAATTTCAGCTACAAAATAGAGAGAAATATAGAGCCTTTGTTTGATGTTGAACTTGAACTGTACCTCACAAATCTTCACAAATACCTTATAAATAGCTCTGACAGTAACATATCTATAAAGAGCCTTACACGAGAAACAAGGAATACTAGTTCAACCAACGGCATCCTTCTTCATGTAACCAAAAGTAAAACTGTTTCTATTCAGAACAGCTCAGTTTTACATCAGAGCTGCTAATGTATGGAACACGCTTCCCGGCTTCATAAGAAATACCACCACATCTCTAACTACATTTAACTATGAAATATTACGTAGAATTAACCCAACAAACTTATGATCCTGAAGATCCAAGAACATTTAAGTCTGTTTGTGTTAAATGTCAAGTCGCTGATGAAAGATTGTGGGTCAAAATGTGCAGAACACAAGCACGAGTAAGGCGAAGGCTGCCAGTCTGCCATTCTATGTCGCCTGACAAACTTTATCCATAGATTTCGCAGTTGATTACCAGGTTTTGGAAATTCATGCATTGATATCCCGGGAGTGGTCGAGTTGTTCTTGCAACTTTCATTATTTGGGGCACCAGCAACGCAATACTTTCCAAGATTTTTTGTAGTTTTCGTTGCGGCATATTTTGGTTCCGCCATATTAAAACTACAGCAGTTTTCCGATTCATCGTGGTTGTACGTTTCATTTCAGCAATTCCTGTTGGACGATTACTGTTCGTTATCCAAAATACAACTCGAACTCCATCACAGTGATCATGAAGCAATTAACATAAAATTAGACAAAAACATAACTTCTGTTTAGTTTCCAGACCGCCATCATTTCTTGATGGACTCTCTAAGTTAAGTAAGTTTAACTACAGAGCAACTTTTGATAAAGAATTTGTCTAAGGAAATTCCAGGAAAACTGCATTTAATCCCCTCCTGGGTAGGCCCAGTAAAAATTGGTCTCCTAAGATCGACACTTTCCGAAGTCATATCTCTGGTTGAATGCCTACAATTTGCACTACGACACCACTGTTTGAATCAGCATTTCAAAACCATTACACAATTCAGTCACGATTGTTTACAATGCAATACGGTTTCCTTTCTAAAACACAAGAACTGGTATGGCCATTTGCGAGAACTGCTGAAGCATTCGAGACTGTTGAAGCTTTCCCGAGGCAGCCGTGGGAACGAGGTTCAGTCCGATTTTCAAAACCTCCGTGCATGGTGCATGTATCCTATGGGATTTTAAGCCCTAGAAATCAATTCCGGATGTCGTATAGTCCATTAAGTCCAAGCCATATACTATATGGCGTGCGCTTCCTGAATTCAAAATCAAATTCAGTTAAAAAATATTTCCTGCTGGCCTATTGCAACGAAACTTTGCGCACACATTCCTTATTACCTCATGGCAAGCCACCCTAACTTTTCGCCACAATACTGTTCATGGCCAATTCTGAACAGCTTTGTCGCAATTTGAATTTATTTCCAAAATGTTTTGAAATTTCTTACTGATATTTTGTGCAAACTTATCTTCGAATAACATGAAAGCTCAGGTCATAAACTTTCAAACGGTGCATATTATATTACAAGTGAGCCAATATTTGTATAGGAGATTTAAAGATTTAAAACCGATTTATATATGACTCGATGAGGTCATTTCTTATTTTTCTCATTTTCTGCTGTTACACGTATTATTTACACAGCGACAGTGTTATTATATTATTGTACTATTTAATGTCGTATAATTGCGATTTAGATGGATTACATGTTTTTGGACAAAAGCATCTTATTTTTGCATCTTACTTTTGTAAAACAACATCTCTGAAAGAACATAAAGAAATTGAATTTTTGCGCAACATGCCGTTGCTATATGACAATAATAACGTTTCAAAATGGCGGATATTTCGGCTTCAATTAAAATTACTTTAAATTACTTTCAAACCAAAATATCCGCCATCTTGAAACGTTGTTGTTGCGTAACCGTGCAAAAATTCAAACTCTTTAGATGTTGTTTTTATCAGTAAGATACTTTTTGTTTTTCAATAAGTAATCAATTGTCCAAAAATACGGATCTTAATTGTCAATTTTCCATTTTGTTTTAATACTGTATTGAGCCACCTTAGGCCTGTTTTATACGTCGACTTTCGGTCGCGTCGAATGCAATTCAAACAATTAGTCAATAGATCTTAATGAGGTTTATCATCTCATTATCTATTGTTTGATAGTGAATTGCATTCTACACGACCAAAATTCGAGGTATAAAACGGGCCTTAAGTGATCGTCCAATAGCGATAGCTAAAATGAAACGTGCTACCACGATGAATAAATATTTAATGAATGAAGGCGAAAGACATGAAACAATTAAAGGCCTTCTTTGAAGGCCATCTTGATAGAGTAGCTGTGATCACATAATTATCAAGATTTGGTTGGCAACTCACTCGATTGCCGAATAGTTGAAGGTTATTGTAGATGAAAATTATCGAGTGGAAATTTATAAACATTTATTTTGTATAAAAGTTGAAGTACTGGAATAGTTGAAGTTGAAGTACTACATATACAGCCTCGTCCCCAGGTTTCAACTCAGACGCGCGGGTTCCGACGCAAGCAGTGACTACATATACATTAGAAATTAATCAGTATTCTTTTGGAAATTTACATTGAGGTGGCACGATATGCAGTAGTTATCACAAAAACCCTGCCCAAGAATCGCGAACAAAACCGGGTGACCATTTTTACGCGCAGCTGGTCGCGGAAACTGATTAACAAACAGTGAAAGAACTCCAAAATGACTGACCTAACGTGAACAGTTGCTCGCGCCATCTCACGTCATTGCGAGTGTTCTTTTGCGTTTTATGTCAATTGCTGACGTCATTTATAGAACTTTCCATTTTAGAAAAACAATGCGCTATATCTCTCTATTTTGTTTGGTGACCTATATGTTCAAATTGTGCATGCTGTATTGCACCGCTAATAACTTTCATTATACAAAAAATAAAAAAATATTTAATGCCAAAATCATTTTACTAATTTATATTCATTTTATATTTTGCGGCTAATTGTTAGTTTTTCTTCAAAGTAAAAAAATGCGCTACAAATAATATAATTTGAAAGTAGAGATATCAAAATATATAAAAATCCCAATATCTACTGAATAAATCCTAAAAGTGTATCGAGCCATGCACCTATATATGGAATACCAGGCCTGATTCTAGATTTAGCGAGTCGAGCCCCTTTGATCGAGAAACTGGTGGGGGAAGGGAATGCTCTTGTATTTCCTAAAGTTTAGAAATGCTATTTCCTGCGTTCTGAGAGCTGTTTTAACAAGAACGTCAATCTCATTAACAGTGACGCACACAATGATTAGAATTTATAGTTTATCTCTAACCCTGAGAATTACAAATATTCTTGCATGGTTCACTGACATGTTCTGGCGGATGTATATAATATTCAATATGTTCTGGCGGGTGTATAATATAAAATTGCATACATGTTTACGGTAATATTTGGGAATCGAGCTACAGTAACTTCTGTTATTGGGGTACTTGTGCACATCTGGTGCACACATGCATCAGTCTCCCACTTCTTACGTCATTGTAGAGTGTAGGCCAAAAAGGATGCTTGTTCGCTCGCATGGGCTGAAAAATCTACATACAACTATAGTCTATATATATACTAAAAAACTATATTATTACGATTTGCATCGATTTACATCGAGATATGATCAATATATATGATCCGAATGCGCTTTACATAGGTAGAAAACGTGTGGTCGGTGTTAAATTGATGGGATGAGTTTGACGGCGAAAATTGAAAATTTGCTGAATTTGAATTTTTTTAGATTTTCTTAAATTTATAATTTTGCGCAATATATACCTATACGAATCACTAAAGAACATTTTCACACAATCGGTGGTGCAAAAAACTTGCTATATATTAATATATTATACACTTTCATGCACTGCACGACCGAGTATATTATAGAATATACTGAGATAAATATATAGTAGATCGATTAATTTCTTCGCAAAATCCTTCGTCTTTGTTTAGAACGAACCTAGTATTTTAGGTTGCAGATTAATATAAAATTTTTACATAAAATATGTTTGCACGGAACAACTCGATAAAAATGTGGCTCACCAAAGCGGGAACTTATTTGGTGTACTAACTTTATGTCTATCCCAAGCCCAAGGAATTGCACAAACGAATTTCGTGATTTATTTATAATCACGCCCTGCAGAACTTCGTATTTCTCATTGCCGCGATAATGTAGTTATGTATTTCATTCGCATTTCATATGAATCTAATTATAGTGTCACTTTAAAGCTATTGCTAAAACAACCTTCTATAACATGAAGTCAGTAAACCAAGTAAGTTCCCGCTTAGTTCAGTAGACAGTACTCAGTAGTTTTCCGTGTTACTGCTAATGTAAACATTTTATATATATTAATATGCAACCTACTATACTCGGTAGTGCAATGCATGAAAACACGTGTATACTATATATATATAGGCTACAGTAGCGTGTTCCTTAGTGATTAGTAGGTATATATATTGATTATTGGGCAAAACTTTAAATTTAAGAGAAAATGTTTAAAAAATTCAGCAAATTTGCAATTTCACCCCATCAATTTCACCCTCAATTTTCATGCCGAAAGTCATGGGTTTCCTCCCACAGGAAAAGTTGACGGAGTTGGTACTGAATTAGGATAAACGCAGTTAAGAAAGTAATATCGCACAACTGCTGTAAAAGTAAAATAGTCTATAGGCCTAGGTCACGAAAGTAGTCTTACCGAAATTTAACGAACTCATAAAGACATAATACGGATTCACTATGATTTGGTTGACTCATATAGGTTATTACGCGGCGTGGGCTTCCTGCATGCAGCATATCAGTACATGAGCAAAAACGGCCTTATCAGTTGAATTTTACTTCCAGGGTGATAGATGTAGATAGATGCAGGTAGGATGTAGAGAATTTGTTAGCGTACGTCTCACTCGATTCAATAATAGCTGAAAGTCTAATAAATGTATATATATTTCCGTTCGATAATTTCCATCTATAGGCTATATAATATATAATATGCAAGACTTCAGTATTAAAATTAACTCTGCGTGGCAGCCCAGAGACTCTATTCGTATAGGTATACAATTATATCAGTATTTATGACCTGTATATAGTTACATTGTGTTTACAATAATTTAAAACTTTTAACTTTAACTCCAGACAAAAAGGGCCTTCGCTCGAAACGTCGAAATTCTGGCCTTATATATTTCAGGAAGTTGCACTCCCTATATATAGCATCGAAAGCTTGTTAATAATTTGATTGCGTGCACTGTCCGCGATTACTATAGATGATGCAGGCATGAGCGTATTTTTGAACCGATCAGTGTTATATAAAAGGCAATTCGAATTCATAAGCACGATTGTATTTTAAGAATAAGAGGTCGTGTAACTTGTGATTGTTCAGCTCAGACAACGTTAACGTTGACTGAAAAAGTGTATCACACATGCAAGTATTGGCGACGAGTGGACATCATGCAGGAGCAAAAGAGGGGAGACCTCTCCCCGCATCTATTTGCTGCATAAATATTTTGACGAATCCTCATTCAAAGGAGGGAGGGGGGTGAGGATGAATAGCGGTAATAAAATCCGCAGAAAATTGATTAAAAAACCCACCGATCACGTAAATATGTATACAACTATAAATCTGAATTCAACCCGAAAATTCTAGTTCTGGTAAAGTTTTTTGTTCGTTTTCAGTATCTCACTGTCGTTTTTATTTCACTAAAGCATGCAGTCGCATTCAAAACATACATAACTAAGCCTAAGATCTGAGCTCCAGATTAATGCAAGTCAGTCAATCAATCAGTCAGTCAGTCTCGTTTCTATCACTGATTTCTCATGCGACAACATCACTCCGTTTTGTGCGAATGATTCAAGTTGTAGCTAATAGCTATGTTATATCTTGTGAATCGGTGCCCCAAAATTATTATACTCGTTCTTAAATTCACAACATATATATCCCATACAATTTAAATTAAGACATTACTCAAAACGTGTATGCATATCTGGGCTATTGATTGCGGGGAAAAAACAAGTTACAAATTAGTTTCTTAAATATTATATAGCTATTAAACAATGTTAGCAGGCATGTAACGCAAACAATTCAATTTTCAGTATAAAGATGATCCATAATTTAGTTTTTGTATTGCTACAATTTCTTATATTTTCCCCATCTATGACTATAGTCTATAGACTATAATCTATATACTCTACAATATGACAATATGTGCCAATAGACTAACAAAATATGCACATGACAATTGTTATTTTGATTAAATTACTTTTCTTTAATATTAATACTCTATGGGCGCTTTCCATTAACACGGCCAGACTAGTCAGATAACGGTCAAATCATGTTGAATGGAACACAAAACGTTTGGGCTTCGGACCTATCTGACCGGAAAATTTAGATAAAATTAGAATGAAGTCCTGCATTTTCGCAAGATATTTAAGAAATATAGACCAGATCTTTCCACTGATACAGAGACAAAAATTCGGGTCTGACCGGTCAGGCCATTATAAATGGAAAACGCCCTATAATATATTTATGTTACTCGTACGTTTTTGTCCATATGATTTTCACAGAATAAATAATTTGTACATTTAATATATCAGTCTTATTACATGTCATTAACAGAAATATACGCGCCGAAACCGGCATACAACTGCTCCACATGCAAAGGCTGCTTTCCAGTCATGCGTTTTTCACGCACGGAAAAGTTGAACTGATATCTTTAAATGTTACTTATGAAATAACTGAATCAATAAAAGTAAAGCACATATAGTTTTGTGAATGATTTAATGTGCATTCATACTAATGTTAAATTTTTCCGTGCGTAAAATGCTAAATGTTAAATTTTTCCTTGCGTATAAAAACGCGGGCTGACTGCGACACAGCCATGGTTCCGTATGCCGTCGTAACAGTCGTAAAGATTGAGTCGCGATCTTTCTCATCAGCCAAAATACAACATTTTAGAAGTAAAAATACGCGGAGTGATTATAACTAGAGAATACTTATGATTTATATGTGGTTTACAGGTATAAACCAATAAACCATTATGAACTAGCCGTTGAGAAAGATCGTGACTCCATGCAGGATTAAGCGACCAAATTTCACGAATTTTGTCTAACGATAGTTAAAACAATTAATTTTCCAAGTTTTGACGAATAGGCACACTGCATGCAATATGTCCAATACAGCCAAACCCAAATTTTATTATTGTTAGGAGATGGTTTCGCGAGGTTTCAGAAACAATGCAAAGGTTGACTATAGATTACTATACGACATATAGTGATAATGAAGTACACTTACACAACTTGACCTGAGATTTTTTTCACTGCGCGAAAATGTACTTTCAATATTTAGTTTTAATTAATTGTTCATGCATCGAATTTTTGTTAACTTGGTCTTGCTCATAAGACTCACAGGCCTACGATTTATCCCAATTGAGAATCTAAATTTTGGGGGGAAACAATATTTCAAATTTGTTGGAAAGTGTTCAGTCAACAACATTAGCTAGGTTTCAACAAGCCTGAATTCTTTACTTCAAAGTCAGACAACTACAAAAAAAAACTCGCATTTTTTCTACTTGTTGAACTCGCATTATTTCTATACTTGTTGAACTCGCATTGCGCGGGGTGCAACTTTCTTAAAGCGCGGGTCGAAATTTTACTCCTGCAGCTCTGGCAAGACAAATCATGACTGCAGTCGCATAATTAATAAACATAAACATCGTTCGAGTCACCTATAGCTTGTAGCAAGTCTATAGCAAGTTTGTGAATTGCGTACTTTCTGAGCCAAAGCCCGGCCCAAGTATGGGCAACCAGCATCCTTGCACAATCATGATCTGGGCCTCAAAGCGTCATTCTAAACCAGATCAGCACAAGAGGTCGTTTCTTCCGAGTCGTGTGCGTTGCCGGCCAGAGCAACCTGGCGTGCATCTCGACATGTTAAGAGCATCAGAAGTGATTTTCTGTATCGCGGTAAAACAAAGAGATAAAACAGTGGAGTCAATCCATAATTTAGGCATGTAAACATTGGATAAATCTCCAATAACTTCATCAGGTGACCGTTACTATCAGAGTTCTCATGAAACAAGATGTATACCAACTTTGCTTGAAAAGCGACAAAGAAAGGCAGAACGGTTACCAGCGTTGCAATAACATAGCAAAGTACTATAACGTTTAGTCTTTTGTTACCATCAAACTGACTTTTACACCTGCTTGTGATGTGGATTGCTGCTTCCCGACGTGTGGTTTCCTCATCATGTGAACGTTGTTTCAACCAGAGGCGAACATAAAAAAATATTGTTAGGGTAAATGCGATTTCAGCAACCACACATATGAAAAATTCCACGTAATGGCCCGTGTTCTCAATTGCAACCAACAGTCCACAAATGAGGGAAAAGACGACAATAATTAGACAAAAATATGTGTAAACTTTTTTCCTTGCCCGAAGCCATTGCAGCCGCTTAAGCGAACATGTATTCATGTACCTTTCGACGACCATTGCGAGCAGCGTGAGGAATAAAGACAATGCCGTTGTCCAGTAAGCATAGCGACCAATCTTGAAGAACAGTTGTTCATCTCCCGACTTAAACAAAGCAGATACGGACCAGCAAACTGTCACAATACCTTTCACGAAGTACATACAAGTCAGCGTGACAAAGTAATATATGATTGGGCTGCCAAATGTTAGTGTTAGGTTACGATAAAATACCAAACACGATAAGCCATTGGTAAGGACAGAAAGAAAACCAAATAATAATGCGAAGGACGGATAAAGTACATTCATTGTGTAGCTTCCGATAAAATAATTGACAATAACTTGCTTATAAATACGAGTCAACTTCACTTCAACTCGACCATAGATGATATATATCTATTATTTGCCACAAGTTAAGTTCACTCCTAGACGAAATAGTCTATTGTGATAATAGCCATACAACAACAAGTTATTTTGTGATCGTGAACGACTTGATTCTAACATGTCATTGAAACAAAAACTTCGCAAGACTTCTGAGCTAGACTTTTAAGCAGTCACCGGATGAGTCTCTGACGTCAATGTTCGAACAAATATGTAATGACGCATTTCTTGTCATTATGCTCGTGGCATCCTTACAGTTTTAAGTGCCAATGTGCGTCATTTTCGCTGACTTTACGCATGGCACAGCGAAACTGCATCAATATAGTTCGAGTTTAAAGATGGAGCACGTACTGATATTAAAAAAATTTTGGATGCCATTGATATTTATAGACTATAGTAGATTGAGTTTCTTAATTCTGAAAATGATCATGTCGATCTGGCTAAAATTCTGGGTGTGGAGATTATAATGTGATATGATTTACTTTCATTTGTCATATTTTGACACTAATTATTTTTCTCAAATTTTCTAGCATCTCATTATATTTGTATATTGATTGTGTTCATAAGTTAACCGCATTGACTATTGTTGTCTGGAATTATTATTATATAGGAATAATTAATTTATCATGTATGTACGGTCTACTAGTCTGGGCAAGAACGAAATGTTTTATTATGAGTTATGATTCACCACCTTTAGTCGTTATTCCGGTTGGCAAGAGCGAGTCAAGTGGCTTTTAATGGTTCTAAGATTGTACAACTAAAATTAACTAAAACTGAAAGAGTGTTCGGCAAGAGCACGTCAGGAGTAGCACGAATTGGTGACGAGGCCGTTGTTATGTTCCTGCGTCGAAATATTCGAATTATTAAAGACGTGAACTTTGCCTTTGCCGCTTGTAATTGGTCTAAATTGCTCAAACCTCAATATAAATAAATTATTAATCACAAACATATATAGATTTCTCGCGACATGACAACACAGCATGGAGTCGTCTGCCAAAATTATCATACCACATTTAGGCTGTTTACTGTCTATGTCTATAAGACCTTTAATTTATACAAATACACTTTAGAAACTACAAGTCCAACCAATTCTCGGCCTTGTTGTCGATATCATCTTAAATTTAACAGAAAAGACACAGTGACTGGACGTATTACTGATAGCTTGCGGTTTTATGGCGTTTGGGATTTGAAGTGGAAATTCCTTGAAACAAATAAAATAACAATTAAACTTTAATATTACTGTACAACAAGCTTTCGTTGGTTGGGACTAGGGATGCAACTTGGGTCCTGACTCCTGGAGAAAATAAGGAGAATTTCGACGTTTCGAGCGAATTAGGCCCTTCGTCTGGACCACAGAGTAGAGACATACAGAGACGTAACTGACCGTCGTAAACACTGCGGAAGATTACGTTATGTACCCACTTTTTTTCAGGCGACCGGTCGAAAAATGATCAACTGACTTAATACTAGCGGGGGTCGGGAAAATTAAATTACACGACTCAACACAAAGGGCCTTTCGCCGTTCGAAACCGTCGAAATTCTCCTTATATTTTTCAGGTAGTTGGCTTGCATCCTTAAACGAAAGCTTGTTATTATAATATTCGCAACTACACTGGCACAGACAGTTCAAATACAGATTTGCCAACCTATTCCAAGCAACAACAGTGAGCTGATCTACAATTTTCCTCCGCCTCTCCGGTCAAAATAGCCAGGATGGAATAATAGCGAAAACTTAACAAAACAACACATGACATAATTTTCGCTGCAATTTGCAAACCAAATTTCTGACAGGAGACATAATGTTGGCATGGTGCAAAACAAAGACTGGACTTGTGGACTCGGGCATGGACTCAACTGATCAATAAACATCAGATTCATTATAAATTCGCAACTACAATTAAATACGGAAACAATATTCAGTATTTATTGCAGCGAGCAGAGTCAGTCATATATTAGTCGCTTAATTCTATGTTTTCTTGTCTGCTATGAATTAAGCTATAGAAATATAGGTCTCACTTCTTCATTAATTTCAGCGTAAGAGATTTTTCAAGTCCGCCATGGCCCATGTTCTTAATAGCAAGGCCGTAAGAGAGGCTGTCACCCCTTGAAAACATATTAGAGACCTTTATACGATTTTAGGACGGCAACGCGACGACGACGGCCAAAACAAACTCCTTCAACATGGAATGACCATTTTTATGAATTTAATACAGTCTTAGATGTTGAAGGCATGGGTTTTATGTTTGGGAAGAGTACTGTTGAGCCCAGTTTGAAGTTGCACTTGTTGCGGCTTGAAATGCAGCCGTTGTATCAAGACGTGAAAATATCTGTGATTTGGCCATGTAAACAGAGCGGCGAGGACAATGTCTAAATTATTCATATATTGTAATTATTCAATTCTTTTCAATGTATTGTATTGGTAGCCGTTGCCCTCGCGCTGCCCCCCTGCCCCTGGAACATTAGAGACCTTACGATTTAGGACGTGGGATGAACGCCTCTCTTTAATAGTGGCATTTGCTAAGACGGCATGGCCGCCAGTATACGCTGTGAAAACTACCTTGGGTTTTTTTCGCGTAGTGCCGAGACCTCTGTATGTCAGTCAGTCTGTGACTAGGGCCTCCGGCTGCCTGGAATCCGGCGAACTGTGGCCCTACGATTCAAGTGTGACTCCGGCTAAACAACCCACCGTGCACGTGACGGTTATTGAGACGCCAGTTGCAGACCTGTAACCGCAACTGTTCCTGGTTTACTGGTTAGGTTTTACTGTGCATTAGTGCATATATATGCTCACTTGGATTATCTACCAAACCCAGCATTCTATAAAAAATATGTAAAGTTTTAAGAATTATTTTGTATCTCAGTGACTGATCAACTTGAACGCACCATTCCTTGTCCGTTTATAACGCACGAGAACAAATTACGCGAAACACTTACTATCGAAATTGCCAACTTCAAACAAATAAAATCTTATATCATCTTCGCGAGAAATCAGAGAATGAAAAAAACTCTTTCTGATACCCCCATTTATTACTGGAAAATCTACGGGTTTATATGAGTGTACGAATCCATGAGTCCACAACGTCCAGTCTTTATATCGAGTCAGTTTTGTTATTCAAAAGAGTAGCCCGCCAACATTTTTCGTGCCTTTGTGCAATATGTTAAACGGAATTGAATTTATCAGAAAGGTGAACAGCAAAGGTCCATGCTCAGTTCACTGAAATAACACAAATAAGATAAAGGCATATGCACGACTCGATCGTTATCTTAATTTAATATACGGAATTAAAAAAGCCGTGTGATGTACGCAACAAATTTAATGGCGGGACCATGCACTCGTGGCACTGAAGAGCGAAGCAATTCTGAACATTTCAATATTTTCTTTTTCGAACTACGTTTTAGTCATCATGCATCAGGAATGATTGAAATTGAACGATGAGTGGTGGTATTGGAGCATTAAATTAATTATTTAATGTGTTCAAAACCACCGATATGCGGACAGATTGCGTGACGGCACGCATGTATTGCGCTAAAGGACTACATGCATTTGCGGGAAAATCACAGCATTCTCAACTCAAGCCATTATATAAAAGGGCAAGTTTTCCTTAAATCTTGACAACGTTTATTTGCTCTTGAGTGCAGCAAAAAATTGAAAATTTGTTGGCTTGCCAAGGTCAAGAAGCCTTATAAGTTCCAAAGCTTGTCTTGTCAAAGAAAACTTGACAAGTGTACAAGAAATACTTCTCGTGACATGGTTTTGGCAAACCAAAGTCCAAAAAGGCGGCCTTGACGTCAGATAATGTTAAGCGAACATTCCGTGCAAACGAACAACAAAACTTGTCAAGCTAGGGAAACTTGTCCGAGGCGGAAGACTTGTTGCATGACCTTCCACACGAGAAGGTAAATTAACGTGTCAAGGAAACGACTGACTTAAACTTAAAGGCTGCTTTTCAGTTAAGCTTTTTCACACGTTCGCATACGCACGGAAAGGTATAAATCTTTCTAAATTTTATACAGGTAATAATTACGACAAGGTTCAACAAATACGTTTTAAATGATACTGACAAAACTCAATGTGGTGCTTTTATATCATTATTTCATAAGAAACTTTTGAAATAGTTTCTACATACGCATGGGTTCACGCACGTATGCATAATGAAAAAACGCGTAACTGGAAAATAGCCTTTAGTCTAAGATGTGAGATTTCAACTTTTCAGTTAGAACAAGATTTTCATTTATCGTGAGAATTGAGTCCGAAATCATGATAGCGTATAATTCTAGTCAGAAGTCGTGAGACTTGGCAACACTTCTGTGGGCAAGCCTGTACATGCGTCATCATATTATGTAATGACGCATCATTATTTGCAGTATTTGGCCACAAGATGTTCCGTTTGGCACCAGAGTTGTGTGGCTGTGAACTCACGTCTCTGAACAACGTAACGACAACGGAAAAACGCAAGTGATACCTTCATTACCGGACCAGACTGCCATCATAAGCAGCTTTCAACTTACTTCCTACTTTACTGTCATACAGCTTTCAATTTCGTTTTTAATAGAACCACGTAATTCATCTATGATTATCGGCTTCCTCATAGGACCATAGGCGCATTAATTAATTGCCTTTGGGTGGGGTTGGGCAAAACAAAAACTGACAACAAAAATTCGTGTAAATCTTCATGTTTTTTTCAACAATTTAATTTTTGAGTTAAACTCATGCATTACTGTCAAATAGTCTCCCAGAATGCAGCCGGAAATTCCCTGCTTAACTGAAAAGCAGCCTTTATAGATTTCAGAATTTCCGGACCCCCCTAAAGTAATTTCTATATTCCACTACTTCTAGTTCTTTTAAAAGAGAGCAATTATAATATGTAGCGTAGCTATTTACGGGAGTGGGCTGGGCCCTATACTTTGAGTGAGAACTACGTTCGGGAAACTCGTTAGGGTTTATGCACTAGTCAATTGAAACCCCGGCCCCCCAACCCCCGGGACGGCGGAATGGCCGTGGATTAACGCGGATTTAATGCACCATTTCCCCCGGGGTACAGGGTAAATAACAAGTCAATTTATTATATGAAAACGAGTTTATCCTCGTGGCATTTATAAACTTTTGTTCGTTTTATCATTGTTTCCTCATAGTTTTTCTTAAATGATGACTGCAAGATAGTCGAAACGTAGATTATTCAGTATCTTTTGGTGCGGATCAAAGTTTAAAATCAAGAATTGCCTTCACACACAACGACTTCCCAATAAGTCTTGAAAATTTGCAAAGTGCCGGGGCCATAGGGACGGTAACTTTAACAGTCAATATTCGCCCGGTAGGGGGAAATTACCAAAATTTAACATTGTCAAAATGTTAATTTTCCCGCCTTGTCCCGGGGTTGGGTTTGTACCTACTCAAGTTGGCTTGTTTCTTATACTGAACACAAAGAATGTTACATTTTAACGAGTTTCCCGTTGAGTTCTGATTTCATACGAACAAGTCGACACCTGCTGTTTTAGATCGTCAGCAAATACATATGCAAATTATAGTTACAAACATTTACAACTCCCTCCTCCTCCACATTCAATGTTGTTTACCCAATCCAGACTGTAGCCCACTAGCCTGCGTGGCAGGCCCACCGAAGAAAGATGCCTGTTCGCAGGCTAAGTGTCAGACGAATAGCGAATTATAATTCGTCATTCGTCTGACACTCAGGCTATCGTGACAGGAAACAGGCTTAAATTTTACCCATTTATTGTTATAATTAAAGAACTACAGTTATTAAGAATTTCAACAAGCAGCGGGACGAAAGCGCAACGAGGACGGCTATTGATATCATATTAATACAAGAAAATGAGCAGAAATGAACAATTAAAATCCCACGGAAGTTTTAGACGGCGCCGTTGCTCGGTTTACAACGGCAAAATACAGCTATCACGTCTTGCATACAACTTTACATTTCAAACTGGAACCACTGCTACTTTAAATGGGTTTCTAAAACTTTTCTGAACCACGTGTTATATTTTATATGCAGGATAAAACACGACAGGTTTTCGTCTGCAATCATTTCGTTCAACCAGTTTGGGAGGGGGGGGGTAGGAGGGGTGTAATAGGTTTTGCAGGTCCAGACTCCAGACATCCAGTTTTATTTTTGAGGTCAGCGCAGTGCTTCCATTTTCAAGGAAAGTTCCTTTTCTAAGGAAATTCTAGTGTCGAAAAGGAAAATCTAAGGAAGAGAAAAAATCTAAGGAAATCTGAGGATTTTTTCCGATCAACTTAAATATTCATCCAGGTGCATTAGTGCAGAAGAAAGTTTCACTATTTCTTGAATTTTTGAGTGAATTATCAATTATGTTTAATTAAAAATCTGTTTTTAACTTTTTCCTCGTGTTTCCAAAAACTTCCGAAAGTTTTTGAGCGATGGGATTTTGTAACTTTTGGCGCCAAACGCTGTGAATAATTAATTATTTATATCAATGGAAAAGTATATGTTGTAAACTCATAACAAATATATATTTAATTTTAAACAGTATAATAGCCTGTGGTTTTTTAGATAGCAATCATCTTTGTTAATTGTGCTATTTTGTGCTTTTAAAATTGCTTAAATCCTTTGTATTGCTACAAAAGCACTGCAAACCGCCTAATGAAATTTCAAGGAATTTTCAAGGAAATTACGTATACAATCTAAGGAATTTAGAGAAATTTTGATGATAAAAATGAGAAATTTTGATTTTGAAAATGGAAGCACTGGGTCAGCGCATTGAACTATAAATAAACTGGAAGGCTAACTCAGGGGGGGAAATTGAAGCCAGTGTATTTTAGTTTTTCTGAGTTATGAGCAGAAATACTCAACACTGAACGTTGGGCGATATATCAAATTGAAGCTATTGAAAAACGCTATTTGGTGTAGAAATTTCAAGACTTTAGCTAAAAGGGAAATATTGAAAAACTACAAACATAATTACCGATAATTTGCCGTTTTGCAGTTGTTTTTGTATTTTTTAAATATTTCTCTTTTCGCTGAAGTCTTGAAATTTCCACACCGAATAGCAATTTTTAATAGCTTCAATTTGATATAAAGCACGACGTTTGGGGTCAAGTATTTCTGCTCATAACTCAGAAAAACTATTTTGGCTTCATCAAATCATAGGCCTTCATCATAGCAGTCAACCTCGTTCCCAGGCTATTTGTCCCAGGCTCTTTGCTCTTGGGAAGCAAAGACCCTGGTCGGAGCTGGTCACGTGAACCCCCAGATTTTGGGGGTAAATTGAATTTGATCTCAGGGAGGGGTAGGAGAGTAGTCTGTTTGTTGCGTTTGGAAAATTGCAACTTTATGTGTTATAATTTCGGGTGATAAAAATGTAATTTGCAACAAGAGACTGTGAAAGGAACTGTTCTAAATTCGTACCGATCATGACAAGACTTCCTGCTATACTGAATGTCATCAATAATAAGTGTTGCGTTACATTTCAAGCGAGAAGCTGGATCATATTTCACTTGCAAGGAAAACACTCCACACGCGCCTGGCCTGCGAAGTTTAGCACGTATTGCCGTAGAAACATACATATCTTCTACACAGACTGATCGATCAAACGGTATTAAACGAACGATATGGTTCTTTATAGTTGAAGTGTATCCTGTCCGATATTCAAAACAAAAGATTTATTTTATAACGGGATCCTTTGTCTTTGATTTCCCAAACATCGCCAACATGTGTAAACAATATTGCTATTCTGACTGTAAAAGCACAGGATTAAAACCCGTTATGGACTGGCTATAAAATTCATTTCATTTACATTACTGAAACTCAACGATCAAGAAAGATAATGTCGACGTGTAGGCTAGCTATCTGTTATCACACAAACGCCAAGACTCCGTACATGCGTATGGTTTCCGTGCGTGCGGTACAACTTGAATATCTAGGACGATATATGCACCAGACACTGGTATTGTACTTTATATAAATTATTTCATATTTTGTATATACAGTAATTTGCAACATGTATAATATTAGACCTTTCATTGACATTGGCATTGCCCATTGAGGGCTTTATTGAAGAATAATCCAGCTTCTTTAGACTTGTATAATGGATTAATGCCGCTGTGAGTTATCAATATTTAAATCAACTTTAATCTTTATCGTATACTGGAATCGACATTTTAGAAGTTTTAATAGTCTGTTTTACCAAACAATACTGGAGGCAAACAACCTATCTATCAATGGAAACTTTAAAAGGTTTGCTACAGTAAAACTCATTAATATAAGCGAGACTTCGTGTGCATGCATATACAGTTTATGAATTATGTATGTCCCTGATAAAACGTAGGACACTTTATACCAGATATAATAAAAAATACTTTGCTAAACCTTTTCGGCTGTCATTCCTTTGCATTTAAGGGAAGAGGGTAAATGGCGATAGAATTTATAGGAGATGCTGTGCAATATTTTGGCTTCAACAAACAGGTACTCGTGCAGACAAAAAAGGAAATTCTTGCAGTTATGAATTGTCGTATGTCAGCTGTGCACTGTCGATTTCAAACAATTTTATACGTTATATTTTGTCTTCCTGGTGTTTAATATAAACGATGATAGCCATTTAAAAAAAAATCTAGAGCAATATGTCTATAAACAGTTGAATCAATAGAATGGACATTCACAATGTGTATTTGGCTTGTGTCCAAATGTGTCACGTTTAAGACCGGCAAGGCGCTAATCCTACGACCTATAAACAGTCGCTTTCGAGACATCTGTTTAACAAAATTTATACCATGTCCATATCAGAACAATTCATTGGCATATTATAAGCATATTATAAATATTAGAGCCAGAACAGAAACGTATGCGTGAAATGAAACTATACGCCCGAACCGGCGAACCCCGAGAAAATAAAAATATTTCAAAGCGTACAGTCATATGTTCTCGTTGCTTGATTTCCTGAATTTTCTGTTGCCATAAGAATCTGCATTTTAGCATGTTTGTATAATTTAAAAGCAAACAGAAACCAATTTAGCAAGTAGTTTGAGGTATATATGATTTTTGAAGATGAATTAATGATTGTACAGAACGGCCACTCCTTGCAATCGAAGTGCGGAAGTGGAAACATGTAATATGAGACTTTTCCACCCCCCCTCTTGGGCTATCAATTTTCAATGGGTCACGTGACCAGCTCCGACCAGGGTCTTTGCTTCCCAAGAGCAAAGAGCCTGGGAACGAGGTTGTAGTTGGGGTTGACATGAGGATTAACAGCAAGAAATAATAAAAGGCTGGTCACTTTGACCGTTAATTGGACTAATTGGGACAAACGCTGACAGAAATCAATCGAATAACGCGAACTTCGGCTGTCGCATCCTCGCCAAATTACGTTACATCGGAAGAGCGATAATTTTTACATAATATACTTTTCTTTAACATAATTTAACAATAATCTTCCTGCAGAAAATGCCAACTGAAACTTACAAATGTCTAATCTTCCGAGGTTCGTGAAGACGACGCTGCATTGTCATTGGTCGGCTTTCAAAACAACAACAGGACATTTCCGGTAAGAGAGCGAACGTTTGGGGAGTTAGCGAATGGCCTCTGCGAATGTCCTGTTGTTGTTTTGAAAGCCGACCAATGACAATGCAGCGTGTAATTCGAATTTGAAGGCCATGAATTCAGATCGGTCACAAACCTCGGAAGATTAGACATTTGTAAGTTTCAATTGGCATTTTCTGCAGGAAGATTTTTGTTAAATTCTGTTAAAGAAAAGTATATTATGCAAAAATTATCGCTTTTCCGATGTAACGTAATTTGGCGAGGATGCGACAGCCGAAGTTCGTGTTATTCGATTGATTTCTGTCAGCGTTTTGTCCAAATTAGTCCAATTAACGGTCAAAGTGACCAGCCTTGTATTATTTCTTGCTCCTCATGTCAACCCCAACTATGGCCGTTAACCTCTTGTCAACGCCAATCTTGGCCGGTTCTCGTTAAAATCTTTCAGGAAACACATGTAAGTGCTTTTCATTATACATATATTATATATGGGTATTGTGCTATTGACTATTCTTTGTTTGCAATCACGTGACTTTTCATCCAAATGACGGGCAATTTTATTTTTATTATTATTATTAAAAACATCTTTAAACACGGTGACTAATCAACCAGTATTAAAATATTTACAAATCGAAAGGTTTCTTTTCATTAGGCCGTGATGTACACAAACTACAACGCCCCCTCTTTCCCCCAGTGAACCCCTCCCAAAAAGTGTAAAAGATACAGTTACTATTTATTTAACTGACAACCCCTCCTCCCCCCAGTGAAGCTCTCCCAAAAAGTGTAAAAAATACAGTTACTACTAAGTTAACTGTCACTTTGGTTCCAGACTTTAGCAGCAGCATATCTGAATGTTCTTTTCAAAGAATTAGTTTTTGGTTTCGCTAGTGCAAGCTTGCTATTGTTGCTTCTTAAGTCGTATCGTTCAGAATTGGACATTATAAACATGTTCGAAATGTTTTCAGGGCATTGGCATGCAAGAGCCTTAGATATACATTTTAATTGCTGCTCATTTCGCCTTTCTTCTAACGTTTTCCAGTTCAGTTTACTCAAAATGTCAAGGGAGCGTACTTCATATGAGTCGCCTGAAATAACCCTTGCCGCTCGGTTTTGGAGTTTTGCAATCAAACAACTTGTGGACTGTACGAATTTGAGTAGGAAAATTGAAATTTTTAACGTTAAGTGGAAACAGTAATAATTTAACATAATTATAGATATAGTTTAACGTGATTGGTTAATTGAGAACATGTGAACTCTCTTGTTGTTGTTAGAGTTATGGCGCTGTGAATTGTATTTTATAGAAATTAAGGGATATAAAACTTATTGTTTTTATGGTTGGTTGACGTAATAAAGGGAAATATAAGTAGAACAATCGAAGGTTAATACGAAAGATATGAATTATATTATCAAAAGTTAACATGTGGTCCTCAACGAGCCGGATTGAATCGGATTTAGTTCTATAGTTTTGGAGCAATTTCACAGCGATGTCGAACGACAAGGATCTTACTAAACAGAAGAGAATCAGAACGGGTCATCGGTCATATATCAAAAAGCTTTTTGCAACCTCAGACGAGTTAATGTCAGCGGACGTTCCCGACGTCAACAAAATCGAATGTATGAAAATTTCATTGACTGATAGAATGTCAACAATACAAGGCCTTGATGATGCAATACTTCTTCTTGTCGAAGAAGAAAGCATTGTTAAGGAAATCGAAGAAGCGGGCGAATTCAAGGAAATGATTCAAATGTATTTGGTAAATATAAACAGTTTACTCAAGAAACTTCAACTCACAACAAGTCAGGCGCCCGTAAACAATGATCATTCACTGGGAAACACAGGGGATTCAAGTTTTACTGAAGTCACACAGGTACGAACTAAACTTCCTAAATTACAACTTAACAAATTCAATGGTGACCCAAAAGTCTGGAATGAATGGTGGGATAGTTACAAGTGTGCTATTCATGATAATACACATATGTCTGAGATGGAGAAGTTTAATTATTTGCGAAGTTATCTGCAGGGTGAAGCTGCATCTGCGGTTGCAGGCTTACAATTGACATCTGCAAATTATACAATTGCACTGGATTTATTAAAGGGGCGTTTCGCACAAAAACAAACCATTATTAATGCTCATATGGATGCTTTACTCAAGTTAGAAGGCACAACTTGTAACTCAGATGTAAACAAAATCAGAAGGGTCTATGATAGCATAGAAGTTCATGTAAGAGGTCTCAAAACACTCGGGGTTGAATCTGAGCAGTACGGCACATTACTTGTCCCTATCATTTTGTCAAAGGTTCCGGAAGACCTTCGACTTATTCTAAGCCGTCAAATTAGTACAGAAAATTGGAAGCTAGATGAGATTTTGAAACATTTACGAACAGAATTAGAAGCGAGAGAAAGGTGTGCTAGTTCTACTATCAAGGAAAATATCAAGGAAACTTCCAAACAGAGTTCGAAGGATGGATCTAGCCCTAAGGGGGATGGGGGACGTTCAAAGGGTAGTTATTTATCAGCAGCTGCTCTACAAGCTCAAGGAATTAAGGTATCGTGTACATATTGTCGAAAGGCTCACGCCTCATTTAAGTGTGACGTCATAACAAATGTTCAAGCAAGAAAGGAGCTATTGAAAAAGGAAGGACGGTGTTATGTCTGCTTGCGAAAGTCACACTTAGCAAAGGATTGCAATGGCAAGTCTTGTTTTAAGTGCAATAAACGTCATCATCCCAGTATCTGTGAGCAAGCCCCACAAACCCCACCCCTACAACAAGAGCAAAATAAGGGTGGTGGCAAGCCACCTGTGGACGGTGCTAAAGAAACAACAGCTACCTATGTGTTCACTGAAGCGAAGACATCTGTGTTATTACAAACGGCTATAGCAACTGTTATCAATAGTGAAGACCCAGAGAAATCCATTCAAGCAAGAATAATTTTCGACAGTGGTAGTCAGAGGTCATATGTTACCCATCGCATCAAAGAATCATTAAATCTACCAACAATTAAGAAAGAAACTCTCATGATAAAAACGTTTGGTTCGAGCGTTGGTCAGCTTCAAACGCAAGATCTTGTACAACTCACGGTGAAAGGAGAAGACTCCAATCAAATTGTTCAGCTTAATGCATTTACTATACCGACAATTTGCTCACCATTAAAGAACCAAGCTATTGAAATTGCTTGTCATAATTATTCCCATCTTCAAGGACTCAAGCTTGCAGACATTGGTCCGGAAAGTAACATTGGTTCTGAAGTAGACATTCTAATTGGCGGTGACTATAATTATTGGCATTTCTTGAACGGAGACATAAGACGGGGGGAGCTTGGCCCTGTTGCTGTAAACTCCATGTTTGGGTGGGTTCTTTCGGGCCCAGTTGACGATGAGGTTGAATCAACTCAAGTGAATTTAACCAGCACACATGTTCTTCGAGTAAGCAATGAAACAGCTACCATCCATCCTGGAGACAAACGTCTGGAGAAGCAACTACGTCAATTTTGGGACCTCGAAGCAATCGGGATTTCTTCATCTGAAGAGACCATACAAGATCAATTCAAGAAGGATGTCGACTTCAAAGATGGCCACTACGAGGTGAAATTGCCATGGAAACCATCTCATGACACACTCCCAGACAATTACCAGTTATGTAGGCGACGTTTAGGATCCTTGGTGGGCAAGTTAAAGGCACAAAAAATTATCGAAGAATATGACGGTGTAATCAAAGATCAGCTCAAAATGGGAATCATTGAAGAAGTCAACCCAAGCGGTGCATCAACAGTTGGTATAACACATTATATTCCTCACCATCCTGTTATCAGACGTGATAAGAATACCACAAAGCTCAGGATTGTTTACGACGCGTCAGCGAAAGTTAATAACAATCCATCTCTAAACGAATGCTTGTATAAAGGCCCGTGCCTTCTGCCAAAGTTAGCTGATGTGTTAATGAGATTCCGGACGAACAAGGTGGCCCTGATTGCAGACATTGAGAAAGCTTTTTTAATGGTCTCTGTGTTACCTGCAGATCGAGATGTTCTTCGGTTTCTGTGGATTGATGATACGGACAGTGATAATCCTAAGGAAGTCATATATCGGTTTTGTCGTGTGGTATTCGGTGTTACATCAAGTCCGTTCTTATTGAATGCTACTCTTGAATATCATATATCGAACTATCGTCAGAACGATCCAGAGCTCGCAAGAAGAATCATTGACAGCTTGTATGTAGATGATCTAAGTACGGGAGAGCAAACCGACGACAAAGCATTCGCAACCTACCTCAAGTTGAAGGAGATTATGAAGATAGGCGGTTTCAACTTGCGTAAGTGGTGTTCTAACTCTGCTAGTCTTCGAAGACAAATCCAGTGCGAAGAATCAGAGTCTGATCCACCAGGAGACCAAGATCAAACACAGAATCAAGAAATCATGGAAGAAGATCTGTCGTATGCAAAGTTATCCTTAATAACCGAATCCTCAAATTTAAACCAGGCAGAGCAAAAGGTTTTGGGTCTGAATTGGAACTTTGCAAAGGACACATTCGTTTTCCGGTTTGACGACATAATCAAACTAGCGAGTGAATTCCCTTCTAGTAAACGAAGTATTTTAAAGATCATTGCCAAGGTGTTCGACCCGTTGGGTGTTCTTACCCCTATATTTACTGAAATGAAGGTTTTATTCCAAGAACTTTGTCAAAGCAAATTGGGCTGGGACGAACCTTTATCCGAACTGTTATATCATAAGTGGCAAAGCTGGTGCGATGAATTGAACAAGGTTGGGTACATCGAAATTCCACGGTGTTACTTGAGTAACTCGGCAGACGGTTCTATTTCTTATCAGTTGCATGGATTTTGTGACAGTTCGCGTGTCTGTTACGCAGCCGTTGTCTATTTGAGAGTCGAGACCGAGGTCGATATCCGTACTTCATTAGTTATGTCGAAGACAACAGTAGCTCCACTTTCCCAGACTTCAATACCAAGACTTGAACTGTTATCTGCTTTAATCCTTGCACGATTAATGGCTAAAGTTATGTCAGCGCTTCAATCGGTAATCGATATTGACATAATAAAATGCTGGACGGACTCGATCACAGCATTGTTTTGGATTCAGGGGAAAGAAAAGGAATGGAAGACGTTTGTGGAAAACCGAGTCAATGAAATTCGTAGTTTAGTGCCGGTAGAATGTTGGTCTCACACTCCCGGAAGGGATAACCCGGCAGACATTCCTTCGCGGGGAGCAAAGGCGTCACAATTACAGACTAGCGACACTTGGTTTCATGGTCCTTCGTGGTTGGTTTGCGATGAAGGTGAATGGCCAGCTTCTAAACCCCTTTCCCAACCTTCGGACGAATGCAATCAAGAACTATCTACCATTCTCGCAGAAATCGAGGTTGTTTTGAATTCACGTCCCTTGACATACTCGTACAGCGATGACATCGAAGAAGCGATCACACCCGCACATCTTATTATCGGGCGTATTGCTTCATGAATTATTAATGAGTTTTTGAACAAGTTTTATTCAGTATTTCAATTCATGACAAAAACTATATAGCGTAAAGGAGTTTAACTGAAATTAAAAGAACCTACTTAAACATGAGTTTCAGTAGCATATACTCTGTTGCCTGTTTTTTGTTCTCTTTTACATATTCTTTATTATTTTTTATAAAAGTTGTCTAAGTCTTACAGACTAAGCAGAGGAAATCAAAGCTAAAGTAAAGTTTATGTAAATTAACATGATTTTTATGATATCACATATAAACCATCTGCACGTTCGTGATTTCCTTTGTCTTTTCGGCTCATGAATTATTAATGAATTATAAGAGTAATGAATATTTACAAATATAGCTTTGTGGTTATACGTCTTGTCTCTACAGCTGTTTCCTTCGCTGAGAGGCTTACATGACGTTTCTAGTGAGGGAAAGGTGAGCGTGCAGGGAGTGATAAGATCTTCCCATCACTCCCCGCGCGCCCACTTTTATTCAGGAAACTTCATGTAAGTTTTACGATTAGCATTTCTATAACGCAAATTTACACAAATTTACATACTAATCTAGACTATTTTATCTTTGCAACTTATTTGTAAACTTACCCCAGATTATTTTATCTTTACATGTTATTTATGAACTTCATGTAAGTTAATTTCCTCCCTTCATTAAATTCTCAGTTCAAATTTATAGGTCATTACTACTATTATTTCGTAGCATATTTGGGCAATAGTATATCTACAAAATTTGAATCAAAAACCATAGACGGATTTTCATATTTATTACTGGGGTGGTGCCAGAAATTTTAGGGGGGTGAGCCGTGAGCAGGTGACTGAAGCAACACAAAGTGTCACCAAACCCCAGTAAGGTCTATATTCTAGGGGTGGAGCACTAGAGCCGCGAGGGGGAGTCTAGAGAGCAGAAAACAAAGTACCCCAGGAAACATTTGAAAAAAATCATGATTTCTAGCTTCGAAAGAAAGTTTTTTGAAGTTGTCAATTTGTCATATCAATGGATTTGGCATGTCCGATTGTCTGTTGAGACTTGAAAGAGTTAAAGACTTAAAGTTAAATGAACCTGTAAAGTGTAAACCCAATAGGCCAATACACAATATGCTTTTACTTTTATAAAGTCATTGACATTGTGTTGTTTGAATCCGAGTACAATTTATGATGCAACTCCGATGTAAATAATATCTGGAGCGTAAAGATTAAATCTAGGCAAGTCTATTTCCTAAAAGAATTAAAAACTAAAAATAGTGTTCGTAAAAATTCCAAACGTTCCTTGCGTGCAAGCTATTCGCATGACAAGGCACTGCAAACTCTATTCAGGGAAGATAATAGAGTTTCAAAACTTTACAATTGCTCCAATAAACCAGTGAATGCAAGCGAGGAGCGATTAGTTTCAGACTGTTGCACTGTCTTTTTCTGTTCGAGTGTACTCCTACGTTTATTTTGTATCATCAACACTTTGCACGTTGGAGTGGACTATTTAATTATTTATTTATTATGCCGAATATTGGGGGGGGGGGTTGAAAATTATTTTGGAGGGGTGGACATTTTGTTTGGGGGGGGGGTTATAGCTAATATCGGGGTGGTAGCATCCCCCTGCACCCCCCCCCCCAGAAAATCCGTCTATGTCAAAAACTGATTTAATAGGCTACTTTGAGTATACAAGCTTGCAGATAATACTATAGGTTTCACTTGGAAAGATATTTTACCTGTAGTGTAGGTTTAGGTATCTAAACAATAACTATTACAAGACGTGTAAAGGCCTGTTCAGCACATCGCAAGGGTTGTGTGTGTAGGCACGGGGGAACAGTATAATCCCATTTTCCCAATCAAACATTTTGTCTAAACACTCAGTCACACTATACCCCCCTTTAGCTTCTCCCCCTCCCCCTCACCCTCACCCCAAGGTTAAGTATAGCTCTGGTAGACAGATGTAGCCTGAAATTTTAGGAATACTGCATGGTGTATTCATGACCCAGTATTATCTAGTATATTGGTATTCTGGTAACCCCTAGCTGGTTATAGGCTAGCTGCATGTCAGCATGTGTAGTTCTTTGACGGCTCTTGCTTGTCCTAAATTTAACAAGTGAACTGAGTGCTTGTGTAACTATTTATCGTTTTTGGCTGTTTTGGACGTTGAATTTCTTTCGAATATAACTCATTGATGAATTTGCAAGACTCTAAATGATTTTTTTTCCATAGGAAAGTTTGAAATTAGTCCCAGTCCAAGATGGCCTTATCTTACCATACGACTGCAATCGTTTTCCTCATGTGCTACTCGTTAACAACGTTTGCTCAAGAAAAACCAACATTTCAGCCAGGAAACAACACGATCGTTCGATGTAAGATTAACAGAAATACTTTGAATGGAACAAGTAACTCAACCAACTGCAAACTTCAAATCGACGAACCTGAATCAACAATATCGAAGATATATTGCGTTTGCAGCACGAGTCTACCACAAATATCGTTAACTTAAAAGTCACTGTTGTTTCTGAAAATGAGACTCGGTGTTTCCCAAAAACGAAATGGCCTTGGGCGAATGAAATTGGTCGAACTATACTTTCGTTGGCTTTGCGCGCTAAAGATACTATTTTCAATTCTCCTCTTTTTACTTTGATATTAGAGGTCGGGACTCATGAAGTGGATATTCAAGTCACGGAGGAAACAGATGGTTGTTTGCCACCTGGGGACGAAGGAATCGATCGGATTTTCGACTTTCTGTTGCATCGGCTTTCGCAAACTAAAGATACAAAATATTTTGGACTGTGTCGAGTAAAAACTCATGGAACATACAACTGTTGTCAAATTACTCGTGGCAGAAACCTGACAATTTGTGATAATTATTCATCTCTTGTGGTCGATTTTGCTCTTCCAGCGATAATAGTCATATTTTCTTTATCATTTTTCATGGTTATACCTTTTGTGCTGGAGCACATTATAACCTATCCAACTATTAAGTTTTATAAAACTTCTGACAGTCCTATGTCTCTTACTTCTATCCTATCCATGATGTTTTTTGAAGGTCGTGGTCCAGCTATGTCTTTGTTCAGAAAATGTGTATTCGCATTACTTTTATATGCAGTGTGTTTTCTTCCCAATTTTACTGCGTCTGAAGAGTTAGAAATAGTATTTTGGGTATGGGCGGGTTTTTTTGTCATATCGTCGTACGATGTTCTGATGACGCACGAGGAATGCAAAATGGGCAAAGGGGAATGCAAGAGACCGAAGTGGGATAAGAATTTAATCTTTTGTTTCAAAATTCCATTCTTTCTTTTTCAAAATTCTATTTCTTTCTTTCAAAATTCCATTCATTCTTCCTTTCAAAATTCCATTAATTTCTTTTTTGATGGTGAGAGAAATAGTGCTACGAATATTTTTCATTGCATTGTCTCATATTTATGGGATTTGATTTATGGTTTAATTATTTGGGTTTGGGCGATTGTGTATTTTTCCATTTTTTATCCACTTCTATTAGTGATATGTTTGTTAAAATTTGCTATATGGGACTTAGCTTGTTTTTTTATTTGGCCATTTTGTCGTGCAGAACAATGGGAAGAAAACGTTTTGCTGTTATTTATAAGATTGCCAACTTTGGGCCTTAGCGTCTTTTTTGCAGGCATGATTCTTATGCTTGCTGTTGCAATAGTCGTTGGTTTCGTTCTTAACGCGGAATATTTTGGTCCTTTCGTTGTGCCCATTGTGACTCTGATAACTTACCTTTGGAAGAATTGGAAGTTTTCTGTGGAAGGAGAATTTTTGAACCTTAAAACATCAATTATTAAAATTTGCAAGGAAAGAGCACCTTCCAGAGAAGATGAAAATATCTCAGTAAACAATACCACAGATAACAGTGAATTGTCAGGTGCGGCTCGCTTTTTCGATTTTATATGCTCTTGCCTACGAGATACTAGCAAAGATCCACACACCTGGGAATGTTTTTGCTGCAATAAACAGGACGCAAGTGGAAACGGTGGTAGTCAACATCCAACGCGGAGTAGAGGTAGTGGAACTATTGAGAGTAATAAAGAAACCAGCGAATCCACGCCATTAGTAAACCGCGAAAGAGGCAAAAATTATCTTGGGAGCACGGGCATTAATGATAACAATGATGATAGCAGTGTTACTACACCAAACACAGATACCAATCAGCCTTCCAGGGGCGGATCTAGGAATTTTCGTACGTTAGTCAAATTTTTTCCGAGTTGCTGCCATCCGGGGGGGGGGCTTTTACTTTCTGTCTGCGGGGGTTATTCGTTGTTCGCCCGACAGCCGACGTGATTGTATTGTCACGATATTGTAGTGTCGCGCGATTGTCTGGAATTTTGTTTTACACATCGACATGTTCTTTTAATAAATAAATTTTTGACCCTCCTGTCAACAAAACGCCATATTATATAACAAACGAATGGTCGGAAACTGTTAATAATCAATACATTTAGTATAAAATAATGTTTTGTTCACACGTGGGAGTCAGAACTGTAATGAATCGGAAAGTTCCAGAATACACTGGTTGTTGCTGGGAGGTTTTTAGTGAGAGATTTTGCGAAATTAGGATAGCTCGTAGTGTCGAATAAAAGCTAAAAGAAACTATTGTGTTGAGGATTATCTCGGGGGCAATTCTCAACAAGATTTCACACGAACAATCACAAAATCCGCTTACTTCTAGATATCGTATTACAACACAGCATAACACCCGACCATGCAATCTCAAAATTTCCAGATTCAGTCGCTACTATTACTAATACATCAATTAAATATTGCCCGTCTGCCCGATACAAATATAAACGAACACAAAAGCGGTTAATACTTTATAGCTTTAACTATGGTTACACAGTTAATTTAAGCAGCCAAACTGCCAAACCGCTTTTATATCTTAATACCGCCGTCAATATAAAGCACAGGTTAAGGTTTTAAAGCTTACTTAGTACCAGGTCTACCAGACTATCAACTAAAATATAAATATAATCTCCTAACCTTATCGCCGTACATTTCTATTGTGGTGGACGAGCACCGAATTGAAATCTCTAGCGAGACTCTGGTTCTGGTGATATAGTTGTGGATAGACTTGGTATGAATAGCTTCAATAGCGGCTAAAAGCTCTTCGATATATCGATCTTGTATTGAAGTATTGATATGCTTTAAAAGATCTGTGTTCACCATTTTTAGACTGGACAGTCTCGTATAAACTTTATATTGCGGGAACCACTGAGTATTTTTACACATAGTTTCATAGATTATATATTGTCGTTGTACTCGTAAGTCAATTTAATCTTCGCGGTGAATAAACTTTCCGCCGGAGTCAGATGAGGCAAAAAATATGAGCCAAGACAGCCAATGAGAGAAGAGAATTTGGTCTTTTTCGACCAATCAGAAGTTCAAATATTGCGCAAATAAGGCAGACCCCCACGAAGATGAGGCAAAAAAGTTGAACCAATGAGAGAGGAGAATTCTCCTTCAATCAGCCAATCAGATACCTCATAGATGACGTAAATAAGGCAGACCCCCACGAAGATGAGGCAAAACCATTCTCGACCAATCAAATGGCTAGAATCTGCCTCAAGTAAGTCAAGGCCACTGAGCTTACAACCGCTGAATGAAACTTGATAACTGGACTATTGTGAATATTAATTACATTTGCTATCACTGCAGGAAGGATTAGAACTGGAGTACTGGACAATTTTATGAATCAGTAATTATCTGCGCAATTTTTACGTTAGTCGCGCGACTTATTTGACAACCCCTAGATCCGCCCCTGCAGCCTTCAACATCTGGGAACGGTGACAATACAGAATTAGCCAGTAACGATGAAAATGGTGGAGAAGACAAACTCATCAAGTTTGACGAACATGGCGAAGCAATGATTTCGAAAAATCTTTACGACAGCGTTACCAAAGAAATTCTCCCTTTAGAGAACCTTTTGTTTTATTTCTTCAGAAGAGCAATTTTTATTTGCTTATATGCTTTTGTGATGTTCCGTTATGATTCTAGTGCGGGATTCGGGCGCTTCTCTAAGTGCACAAGCAATCAACGCTATTGTGAGCGCCTTGATACCTTTTATTTTTGACACCATATTCGCCGACCACCATTCGCCGCAAAAGATGTGCGTAGATATGGCAACGAGGGAAAAACTTGAACATATCTTGAAAGTCGATAAACGTGAAAACAACAGAATTTTTGTAAAATTGATTAACATTAACATTAACAACGGTAAAAGTCAATCAAACAAGGTGACGAAGAAGACAGAGAACATGCAGAGACAGCAGACTGAGCAGAGTGATGTCTAGAGACTTTGCTTGAGTAATTTATTTGTTAGGGGTTTTGTTATTATCTTTATTTGCTTATTTGCTTCATTGAATTTAAGATTTTAAAGTGGACTTACATTTAAAATTTTGTTTAATATATGTAATCATAGTTTTCAGTTTCGAGAAAGAACATTTGATATTTACATATTATGATATATGTTCTATAGTGGATTATAATATTTTGTAATTAAGTAAACATTAACTGTAGTTTGTAAATGAATTACAATTTGAGATCACAATTGTTTGCTGTTATTTTGTGCTAATAGTCTATAAGAAGTAATTAAAAAAATTAAAACTATTATGTTATACAATTGTAGTATTCACTAGAAGTATTCACATGCAATTATAATTAAGCAATAAGCTATTATGTTTTTAAAATGCATGAAGTAAAACGAATAAGATGTTTAAGGTCATTTTGGGATCAATGTAAACACATTTTAGTTGATTACTATAATGTTTTTACATATGCGACTTATAAGTCAGATTCAGAGCTTTTCTAATGGTAACATGTGTTTCCATTAATCATGATATGATTCTATAACCAAACACACTTCATTCGGTATTGCATGGCTATTGCGTTTATTTCATTATAACATTATTACTAGAAAAAACAATCGCAAATATTTAGGCCAGGGTCAAACGTCCACCTTTTCATGTGCCGAACCTAATGTTAATCAGCTAAGTTCTTTGTTTCACTTCATTTGCATTAGGTTCAGGACATGAAAAGTTTGACGTTTGATCGTGGCCTTACTGTTGTTTCTTAACTTTGAGAATTTCGAAAGTGTTTATTGCGCATGCGCTTTTTCATGCTGTACCACAACATTTGCAACCGAATATGTTGAATGCAATGTTATTCATGCGTCATTTTAGTTAATGCAAGAAAAGTAATTTTAAGAAATTTCGTTAATGTTTTTAAAAAAGTTCCGTCAAAATCAGGACATTTAATTTAGTCAAATGGCAAATGTATTAAAGATATCAAGTAGCCTACGTCCTACGGCAAATATGTTACGTCCGGAAACCTCCCGGCTCCCTCCGTCTCCAACATTTCCGGGAAAATTGTTTAGGTGTTTTATTTATTTTCACCAAAAATGTCCCTCGAGGCCAGTGACCGGGTCTTCTGGTGCTTCCTGCGCCCCTGATCGTCAACTTTCTATTTTTCTTTCTTATCAATTTTTGTCGGTTGGGAATATTCCGACCGATTATGGCATTATAATTATCTTTATTAAATTTCTTCAAAATTGTACTTTGAACGAATGCTCAAACTTCGTGTCCTCGTCCCAGATTGAGAAGAGACTGGAACGAAGTTGCGAATCCCATCATTTTGGGCTTGAAGAAATCTTTAAAATACTTTTCAAGTTACTGCTATATTTACCAAAACAGTGAAGCTTTGGTTTAAATAATTCAGTACAAAAATATTTCAATAAACGTATATTTAAATACAATTAAGACAGTCAACAGATATGAAGCATATCACGACCGACAAAAGTGTTTATTAATTTGCGCCTGAAGCCTGTACGTCAGTCTTGCTATCGCTGACAGAGGTTCTGCTATCTTGCACTGCATCCAAAAGTGATGGCGCCTCCTTATCTGCGTTAAAAAGAAGTTGAACAAATTATTAATATTATGTACTTTATCTTAAAGGCGAAGTACAACTTGCCTGGGTATCGAGCCCTGCTTTCCCTTCCTTAGATGTGGGTGGATAGAAGGAAAAGAAGGCCTGACACAAATCCCTGTTTGACCGCATGTAAAAAGTCAATATCTGACTTTTCACTCGATTGGTCCTTTCTCCTCATTGGCATATCTATCAAAAATTTTAATCAGTTTTCTGATTGGTTGGTACTAATTAGATTATACTACCATTCATGATATATTTAGCAGTGTTAACTATCAGTTAAATTCTTGTTGTTATTGTGTGAAATTGATATTGATATTCATATTGTTCGATTTTTTATAGTCCGATTTGTTTCGTGTGCAGTGTAATTTGGTTTTTATTGATTATCTCAACCAATCAGAAATCATGCTGTGATCATATGTTCTGAGAATCGCACATGGTAATCATGACATTACCGCCGGTTTCGTTCAATTCATAATCGGTGTCATCGTTCGGCTGATAAACCGTCTCATAAATCGGCCAACTAAAATCGCATCGCGTTCTCCAGTGTTTGCCAATTTGCGTGTGAAAAAATGGAACCGGAAGAATTTGCGCAAAGGCGTGGATCATGACGTTCGCCAGCTCGTTGTGGTACGCGTAAGGGCGGCAGTTTATTAATTATATAGGTAGCCAGTTTATTTCTAACCCACCATTCGGAATCGCTTAATTTCCGTGGTCAGGGGCCGATTGTTCAAAACTGGGTTATCGCTAACCCTGGGTTAAAATTTAACCTGAAATTGCTGTGCTGAGTGGTTATATTACTACCTGACATAAACAAGCAGAAACTCGACGTTTCGAGCAAAGGCCCTTCGGCTTCGTCAAAAGTTAGTAGTTAGTTAGGTTAGTTCCTGCTACAAACTCTTGACGAAGGGCTTTCGCTCGAAACGTTGAGTTTCTGCTTCTTTATTTCAGGTAGTAATATAACCACTCAGCACATGAATTTCACATTGGTCCTACCCACACTGGTACAGACAGTTTTAAAATTTAACCTGCTGTTTTAGTGTGTATATTTCTACACGTCCGGTTTATTTCAAAACGTCAGAGAAGTAAACTCCTATCGATCTAGACTAGATCTGTGAAGAAATATTTCCTAATTTATAGACAAGCTGTCAGGAAGTTCGCTTTGAATTTTACGTTAACCAAGGGTTAAACTAACCCAGCGTTAAACTAATCCAGCTTTGAACAACCGGCCCCAATTGCTACATGCCCCTTGACCTAAATCCAAGTATGCAATTGCAAATGTTTGGGTGGAAAATTGCACACCTCCCACCCTTTGCACCTAACCATCCACACGGGTAAGTTGGGTAAATCATGGTATTAAACTATCTAACCTACTAACTTACCATTTTGCCTCAGCATATTAAAACTCCTCGAATACAATTCCAACGCGTGCGAATGGTACTTCAGCTCACTTTCAGTGAACGCAAGCAGGACAGCACGCAATTCGTCGACACGTTGTTTGTCAAATTATTCCAATTCCTCTTTTAAACTATGAAATGCCTTTTCCGTTTCGACGACGGACGCGAGAAGCGTGGACTGTGCTTTTGAAAACTTCTGTTTGTCCAAAGGCTCTGTCTCTTTTATCTTTTTGAGATGCTTCTCTTTTCGCATTTCATCTTTTTGCGACTTTAAAGCAAAGTCGATATTAAAAATGTAATCCACGCAATTCAGCTTCTGGCTGCAATGTGGTTTCAATTTAATAATAATAATAATAATAATAATAATAATAATAATAATAATAATAAAAGTAGCTTGCTTGCAACGACAAGGCGACAGCGATAATTCCCCGGTAACCTTATCATAAATCATACAAACGTGCTTCTCTTTATACTTGCCGACGTCGAATAGAATTTCTGAGAATTTTTCTAGCGTTTCCCGGAATTTTCCTTTCTCGCCTTCGAAAATTTTCTCGATGCTGTTTCCCACTTCGTCGTTGCGCTTTTTATTTTTGCTTAAAGTTGCTGAATATTTTTCGATATTCTTTTTCAGCATTGATATTTCCTTCTCAAGCTTTTTTATGTTCTCTTGTTGCGCTATTATCAATTCATCGTATTTGTTCTGCTTTTCTTTTGTATTTGCGGTGTCTTTTTCACTCATATTTGAATGAATACGCAATTTAAAATACACAGCAGCTCACTTGCTGGTTATTGTTCAAAATATGAAGTGTTGGTTTGGAAGAAATTGACGCGCGTGCGTCCTTTTTCAGACGCTGTTAATTATGACGTCATATAATGGCTACACTGACCTGTATATGTGACTGGAATTATAGAGATCACAGGTCGATTGTATAAACAGGGTGGTAAATTTATAGGTATGGCTGGAATGACGCACGTGATCACGAATCATGTCTTCGCTTTTTCTCGTGCGTGCCCTTATAAATCCGCCAAGTTGAATTTGACTAGGAGTGAGAATTATAAAGTTTCAACAAAGTTAAAACTAAGTTTTCATTGTCGAAAGTTTTGTATCCATAGGCGTACGGGAAGGAAAAAATTAGGGGGGCAGAAACAAATTTGCCCGACTTTTTCTAATTGTGCCCGACAAGTGCCGAAAATTTTTTTTTCCGGAACAATTTATTTTGGCGACCTCCCCCCCCCACCCCCCACCCCCCCGTCGCCAAAAAAATTTCGGTCATTGTAACATTTTAGGGGTCCAAAAATTTTTCGGACATACCTAAATTTTTCGGAACATCGAACAAATTTTCCCAAATATCGAAAAATTTACATAATTTCCCACAAAATTGACAGAATTTGTCCCATTTATTTTTATAATAACCAAATATTGCCCGACTGTGAAGCGAATATTGCCCAACTGGCTTTGTTTGCCCAACAAACTGGGGTTATTATTGAGAGAGATTTTCTTGTTTTGACTACTTTTTGCCCGACTTTTGCCCGACTTTTGTTGAACATTTGCCCGACTTTTCGACTTTGTAATCTGTTGGGGGCAGCTGCCCCCCGTCCCGTACGCCTATGTTTGTATCTATTATTTCTACGACTTAACTACAGTTTAACAGTTGATGAGAAAGTTAACCAATCAAAACCGCGTATTTTGGAGTTAAAGATCGGATCGAGTATATTCTGCGCATGTGGTATGTGAGGACCCTCTGGTGTAAACAGTACCCAAATTTTGCGTTGTTTCTACATCTTCTAAATTGAAACTCTAATGTATATCCATTTAAAAGCATGGTGAAACCAGAAAGTTGTTGGGCATTAACTAAGTACATCATGTTTTGTAAATATAGTGCGCTCAAAATGTAAACAAAACCAAAAGGACTTGACCCCTGATTTAAAAGTAGTTAATAATTTTATACAACTGATCGTACAAGATTCACTGACGATAAGAATCGAACAACATATCACTACATAGGAAAATACTATAATTGTCCACACGCATTTTATTGAAATTGTTTACGTTAATTAATACTGTTCAAAAAGTTATATCGCTTTGTTATTCAAGTCGTATTCGCATCTTCAATCCTTTGCTGTTTTTCTTGTAATGTCTATGTGATCGTGAACGTAGATGTGCCCACCAGTTCTGATCTCCGATAATGATTCTACCATTACATACAGTGCACGTGTGATTCGAATGTTTGGCTGCAGTATTGGTTAAAATGCGCTCTAAAGGCGTGTGGGTAACTTTTTCTCCTCTTGTAAATGATTTCACGATGTCTACAGCTTTTTCAAACACATTGGATTCCCACTGCCCAAGGTCTGTGGCATCCAAGCTGTAGACATCTGGGGAGGAAGTAGAGGGCCGACCAAGGAATCTGTTGTTCACCCACCGAACTTGTTTCCTTGCATAACGACGGGTGGCACATTTCATAGCCTCGACACATTTTTTAAACAAATCCGGATTTTCGTCCACTTTGGAATTCTCAAGATTCAGAAATTCTCTGAGTTCTTTGAATCCGATCGATTAAAAGATTCCTTCATTGTTTTGTATTTTGGAATTTCTGCATCCACTTTTCCAAGAATTGTGGAATTCTATCAGCTCATCGACTAAACCCTGCTCGATCATCTGATCAACTCTGGCGTCAAGTCTCTTATCAAGGGTTTCAAACTCACATTGGAGCCATAGCACACAAACATTATTAAACCTCATTGGTCCGCTGTACTCACTGCAACCTTCCTGTGACTGTTGTTGTGCTACATGCTCACTGTGAGTTATGCCAGACCGCTCATAAACTTGCAAGCTTCTCTTGATTTTTCTTGTATCATTCGGGTGAAGCTTTTGTGCCATTGCAGAATCAACTTTTGCAAGCCGTTGATGCAATGAATTGTGCATTTCGGTATCCCCATGACTTTCAGTGTCCATAGCTTCCTGTACTGGGGACGTGTTTGCAGAACAGCCTAGACTTTCAATGTGTATGGCTTCTCCTTTAACAGACGTTTCCAAACTGCCTAATTCAGCACTTTTGGGGTTTTGTTTGGCACTGTTTCTTTCACACTGAACAAGCGTGTTCTCAGAGACAGAGTCTTTTTCGTGTGCACTGTCATCAACGTTGCGTTCTTCATTTTCATCGTTCCGTGTTCTCGAATTGTTCCCATCTGTGTTTGCATCGCGCGTTCCGTCATCTTCGTTCCGTTTTTCGTTTTCAGCTTTCCGCGATCGTGAGTTTTCGTTTTCGTCTTCCTCAACAAACGTGTTCTGCGTGTTTGATTCGCGTGCAGGGTCAGCTTCCTTACGTTCTTCGTTTTCAACTTTCCGAAATTTCGACCGAATTTCCCCAGCGCCCGCTCTTCCCTCGTCAATCAATTTTTCCCACAATAAAGATTCGATATAATAGTTCGTCCCCCCGACAATAATCGGTACTTTTTGTCCGGTAATGTTATCCGAAATCACATTTAATGCAATAGTTTTAAATTCAACCACCGAGAACTTCTCGTTGGTTTCGACAAAGTCTAGTAAATGATGTGGAATAATCGCTTGCTCCTCGAGAGTAACTTTGTTCGTGATAATATCTAAGCCTTTGTAAACTTGCATGGAGTCCGCGCTTATTATTTCGCCCCCAATTCGTCTACCGATTTCTATTGAGAGTTTTGACTTTCCTGTTCCCGTGCAACCGAGAATAACGATAATAAGTGGTTCCGTTTCACTCCTGTTGGCCGCCATTTTGTTTTCCAAAATTGATAACTGAAATAGAATAGAAGTTCGGGAAGCAAGTGGAAACACACCAAGAATGGAAAATGGCGGCAAAAGAAACACTGAGCTATAAATACATGGAGAGCGCAACTATAGATACAGAAATTGAAGCCGGAAGTCGCGCGCGGCCGCCATCTTACTGTGACCACCTTGAGGAGTGAGCTATTGTGATTAAATTTGCTATACATGCATGGTTGTAATGTAGACACAGGTCATTAGCTAGTCGCTTGGTAATCATGCGAAATTCTCCTCTCACGAGGCATTATTGTATTAGACAGATGTTATAATGCGTCTAGTTTCGAGGCGAAGAATATTCTTGCCTTCCAGCCTTCGACGCACCAGTTGGTAACATAACACCAGCCGATCTGTGTAATGACAACAGGATAAACTCTTATAATTTTAACACATACGATACACTATACTGTATACTATTTGACTATTAAAACAACATTGCTACATGGTTGTACTTGTTTTAACTATTAGTGCTAACTGCCAGGCAGAAAAACAAGCACGCTCTTCTTAGTGGTATCACGTGTAGTTAAAGGCAATTTTCCATTGCAGTCGCTTTGCCCGCGCGGGCGGAGCGTTCATTGTTTTTGAAGCCCGTCACGCCCGTGTGAGCAGATTTTCAAAGCCCTCTTCGCCCGCGCGGGCAAAGCGACTGCAATGGAAAATTGCCTTAAAGTTACATATTTCCATTGCCCCAGCGACTTAACGCTCCGTGGAGCGTCTTGTTTATTTTATAGTATACAGTGCCGGATACCAAAAAATACACAGTGAGATATTTTCCATAACTACAGTAGATCTTCACTAGTGATAGCCTGCGTAGCAGGCGTTTAGTGCGGGCGGGAGAAGACGCCCTCTCTTCTCCCGCCCGCACCAAACGCCTGCAGATATCGATCGAGTGTTCATTTTCTTTGTTATTTTTACTAATGACTATATAATAAAAAGAACATTAAATACACGGTGGCTTGAAGTTTCATATCTTATTATTATTTTATCTTCTCGTGGTGAAAACTGAAAACAATATTTTTTACTCACTCAAACGTAAAATTTATATCTTCGCACCGCCTTTCGCACAGACTGACTCAGCCGGCCCCCCTCTCCCACTGGAGCTGCGGAGAAACAGCAGACTAATCTCAGAGGCAGTACCATTCTCGTACCCAGAGCCCTTCTTACGCGAGGTCAACGGAGCGCGACGTGGGGCTCTGGCCAAATCCATATCAAACTGACATCTGATTGGCTACAACGAAGGTTATTGTTCTAATACCGGATATATTCTATTACCATGTTTTTATGATATCCGGTTACGGATTTGGCCAGAGCCCCTCGTCGTACCGCGCGTAAGAAGGGCTCTGGGTACGAGAATGAGGCAGTGCTGATCAGTCTGCTATCGCATACTATACCCTGTCTCCGTACCCAGGCGTCTCTTTGTAAAACAACAGCGATGCGCATATGACGAGTTCACATGAAGTAATGTAGTACTACACCGCCGTCTAACATCCTCTATCCCAGCGGGCAAAATGACGTTTATTCAACGTTGAATCAACGTTGGAAATGACCTTCCAGACGTTGGATAGACGTTGAAAAAGGATTGATAATGCAAATTTGATCGACGTTACTGTTTCGACGTTGGAACAACGTTGAAATTAGGTTGCCAATCTCGTCAACCATAATTCAACGTTGAATCAACGTTGAAACAGCGTTGAGATTACTTCACAAATCGAAGTATACGAAGAAATACGTCGTACATTTAATCATGAATGAACGTTGATTCAACGTCTGTTGGCTGCTGTCGAACCAATGTTTTTAATACAACGTCAGAGCAACGTAGATATTAGGTTGTCGACGTCGCAACCTTTTTTCTACCAAATTTCAACGTTGAAACAACGTCGTGTGCCCGATGGGATATAGTACTCTCCTTGACCTTTCAAGACTAATAATGCAACATATCCTCACACGTAGTATTAGGGAGGCTGGGCGGGCAGGGGCGGGAATATTAAAAAAAGGTAGACAGTCATTTTTAGATTAGGATTAGATTAGAGACCGATTAAGATTAAACCAGGTTAGGGTTAGGGTTAGACGTTAGAGTGGGAGTTGGGTGGGGGTTAGGGTTCCACTTAATATAAGGAATATCTTTAATCTTTAGAAAATTTGACAATTAAGGATAATCCCTAATACTACGTGTGAGGATATGCAGAATAGTACTGATAGTTTTGAAACAATACTTAAAATGTACAAATTTTAATATATTCTTTTCCAAAATACACATAGTAATTACTGTATAAGATGTACAACAAAGTGCATTATAAAAACGATTTATAATAAAGTAAATTTACATTGCTACGTTTCATTCTCCATACGGCATACTTTTATAAACGTAATAACACGTGTTTGAAGTTGCGAAGAAGTAAACATGAATCGGAGTTGTTCGGAAATTACCAGAACATTTGGAAACGCCAGTGTATATGTAAATGTTCATTAATCTTTATTCATGTTTTATCTTTAGGTTACTTGGTTTTGGCCGGGTAAACAACGTTGATGACTCGGCCTTTATCTTAATTTACAAATCTTAAAATACAAAAAGCTTGTCCTTTCGTATTAAACATGTTCTCTTCTTTTGTGTTCTTTCGCGCCAAAAAGGGCACGACAACGTACGAACGTTTCCGATCTGTACACGCGCGCGTGTCCACGCAACGCGAGCACTTACATGGCTCCCCTAAATTCGAAATTCAAATTTACTAAATATAAACAACAATAACATGAACTTAACGTTTATCAGCAATGTCTGTATCATTTGTCATCAGGCTCTTCGGCGGGGATTCCCGGTCTTTCTCCTTGGATCAACAATATCAACTTGTGGACTGGACGTTCCAGGCTAACGAGAGGCTTCTCTCTTCTTCCTTGCTTCGTAGAACATTTAAGACATTCCATAGAAGTACATTTAAGACATTCCGAACTGTCCTGATTTGTCTCTCCCAAATTCCTCCCATATGGCTGGCTTTCGGGACGTTGAACTTGAATTGAAACCAATCGCAACTTTCTTTTAGCAATTCCTCTTTGATCTTATCGTGATTCATTTCTTTCAAAAACTTCTGCAATTCCGTACTGGCGCCTACAAAGTTCGTTCCACGATCACAACGCAGTTCTCGCACGGGTCCTCGTCTGGAGACAAATCATCGAAAGGCGTTTAGAAACGAGTCTGTTTCTAGAGTGTGAGAAACTTCTAGATGAATAGCTCTTGAGGCTAAACACGTGAACAATACACCGTATCGTTTTAATTCTTTCCGGCCTTGCTTTACGTAGACTGGTCCAAAATAGTCGACCGCACTGTATGTGAATGGTGGTGAGGTCTCAACCCGTTCTTTCGGAAGATCTGCCATTTTCTGATCTTTGACACTCGCTCGAAATCTTTGACAAACGGCGCAATCTTTGATAAGTTTAGCTACAACATCTTTGCAACCGACGATCCAATATCCTGAAGCACGTATCGTATTCCAAGTTATCCCTCGTCCTTGATGATCAATCTTCTGGTGAAAATGTTTTGCTATCAGCTTCGAAACGTGAGCTCTCTTTGGTAAGACTACCGGATGCTTGATATTAGCGTCCATACTAGATCTTCGAATTCTTCCTCCTACTCGTATAACTCCATGTTCGTCCATAAAGGGATCGAGTTTAGCAATCGGGCTAGTTCTAGCTACCGTATTTCGCCGTCGTTGAGTTTCCGGTACATTGACTTTGGGTTTTGACTTTAACGAGCTTATCTCCTGTTTGAATTCTTCTTTCTGCAGTGCCTTGATTATTTCCCGTTCAGCAGCATTCATTTCTTCCACAGTAACAGCTTGGTCAGGTTTCATAACAGTTGCTGCTTTCTCAATGTTCTCGACATCCTTTTCCTCCCTTTTCTTACGTACCCTTTGACGTAACAATCTGCGATAACGAAGACAAATAGCGATGGCCTTCTTGGCTCGGTGCCACCTCGAAAAGTATTCTAATCTCTCTACCACGTCCGCGAGTTTTTCACAGATGTTGCAAAGGTTGTGACTTTCTTTACTTCGACATCATCTGTTTCCAGCTTTGCTTTGTCATCCGGTTGGTTAAAATGATTCCAATCTTGGTGAGCTTCGTATAGAAATGACGGACCGTTTATCCACCTCGAATCGCTCACAATATCACAGGCCTTTAAACCTCGGGATGCCTCATCAGCTGGATTTAACTTTGACTCAACGTAATTCCACTGATCCTTTGACAAATGATCTCTGATTTGTTGGACGCGATTAGCCACGAATACATGGAAGCGACGCGCATC